CTCTCTTCTCTCTAGTCTCTACCCTAGTTCTCTCAAAGTCTCTTCTCTCAGACAGTCTCTTTGAGTCTCTGAGACGCTGAGAGCCTGAGAGTGTGAGTGTCTGTAGTGTGGAAGCTATTATTCTCCGGTGGAAGCTCTCAAGAGTCAAGCCCCATTCGTTTCCGGTAGCCCTCAAGCCCCAAGCGAGTCTCCGGTGGGAGCGATACTCCGGTGGATTGCAGTTCGCTGGCTAGGAATCGAAGCCCTTTGTTCTCGGGGGTTTATTTTAGAGAAACGAAGTAATCTCTATTCTCTAAACCCTAGTTTTTAAGATTGTTAGTTTGATTGTTTGATTAGGGTTATTCTGATTGTGATTTTTTGATTTGTATGGACTGTGAGGACTGTGATCTGTTGAGAAGTTCCAGATTACTTACTCACTTGTCTCTAATTTAAGATTGATACTTTTATTGTTTGATTAGGGTTATTCTGATTGTGATTCTGTGATTTGTATGGACTGTGAGGACTGTGATCTGTTGAGAAGTTCCAGATTACTTACTCACTTGTCTCTAATTTAAGATTGATACTTTGATTGTTTGATTAGGGTTATTCTGATTGTGATTCTGTGATTTGTATGGACTGTGAGGACTGTGATCTGTTGAGAAGTTCCAGATTACTTACTCACTTGTCTCTAATTTAAGATTGATACTTTGATTGTTTGATTAGGGTTATTCTGATTGTGATTCTGTGATTTGTATGGACTTTGAGGACTGTGATCTGTTGAGAAGTTCCAGATTACTTACTCACTTGTCTCTAATTTAAGATTGCTACTTTGATTGTTTGATTAGGGTTATTCTGATTGTGATTCTGTGATTTGTATGGACTGTGAGGACTGTGATCTGTTGAGAAGTTCCAGATTACTTACTCACTTGTCTCTAATTTAAGATTGTTGGTGGAAGCTTAATCTGTATGTGTGTAACTCACTAACTGAGTTAAAGGCTTAAAGGGGTAATTGTCCCTAATCTGGTGGAAGCCCTAGCCCCTTTGTGTGAAATCCATATATATGATGAGCATTATGAAGTGGCATACATCCACTTAGCTTGAATGCCTGAATATGGATTTCTTTGTAAATTGTAAATTGTAAATTGTATTAAGTTTATGGATATGGGACCCTTAAATTGTTTATGTGCAATTCTGCATACATGATGACATGTGAAATTAACTGAAAGTAAATAAGTAATATGTAAATATGTAATACTTCTATGTATGAGTACTGTATGGTGGAAGCTTTAGTATGATTGGTTGTCTGCTTTATTTGGATACTGATGCCCATCTTTATAGATGGAAAGCATCAGTGCAACTGGACACCCTCCAACCTCAACTGATGAGGAGCATGGAGTAGAAGCTCAAGGTACTGAGAGAAATCCTCAGACAAATCCTATGCCTTCTCCTCCTGTTGTTCCTACAAAGAAGAGGAAAGAGGTGGAGTCTAGATCTATAGTATGGGATCATTTTGAAAAGATCCGTGCTCCACCTGCTGAAGGTGAAATTGAGGGACCAGTAGTTGAGGGAAAATGCCTTTATTGTGCCAAAATCTATAAATGTGAAAGTAAAAAGCATGGCACTTCCTCTTTGAGAAACCATATGAAGGCCTGCCTAAAAAATCCTCATTGTAAGGACACAAGGCAGTCTCTTCTCACCTTTAATGCCTCTGGAACAGAAGCTTCTGAGGGGGTTTTGGGGACTTGGGTTTTCAACCAAGAGGCTATTAGGAGGGCATTGTGTGAGATGATCATTGTTGATGAACTTCCCTTTAGGATTGTTGAGGGAAATAGCTTTAGGAAATTCATTTTAGTTGCTTGTCCTAGGTTTCAAATCCCTTCTAGGTGGACCATTTCTAGAGACATTTATCAGATTTACCTAGATGAGAGAATAACCCTAAAAAAGTTGTTTAAGGTGAGCACCCAAAGGGTCAGCTTGACCACTGATACATGGACCTCTGTCCAAAGGATCAATTACATGTGCATTACTGCACATTTCATTGATGATCAGTGGAAGCTAAACAAAAAGATCATTTCCTTTGTCCCAATTTCTTCTCATAAGGGAGAGTATGTAGCCAAAGCCCTTGAGAGTTTGTCTTCTTGATTGGGGGATTAGAAATGTGTTCACTGTTACTGTTGATAATGCCTCTTCAAATGACACAGCTTTGGGGTTTTTCAAGAACAAACTTCTGTCTTGGGGTGGGTCTTCTGTTAGGGTTCAATATATGCACATGAGGTGCATAGCCCATGTGTTGAACTTAGTGGTCCAGGATGGGTTGAGATATGCAGGTCCTTCTGTTAAGAAAGTTAGAGATGTTGTGAGATGGGTGAGGAGTTCTCCTGCCAGACATAAGAAGTTTAGAGAGATTGCTGTGCTTAATGGGGTGGAAGCCAAATGTGCATTACAACTTGATGTTCCAACAAGATGGAACAGCACATACATGATGCTTAACACTGCCCTTCAATACCAGAGGGCCTTTGAAGCTTATGAGAATGATGCCTCATTGAATGCTGACTTACCTGATTCTATTCCAAACTTTATGGATTGGCTTTCTGTGCAAAGCTTAGTCCATTTCCTGAAAGGCTTCTATGAGATGACTGTGAGAATATCTGGTTCTCTATATGTCACTTCAAATACTTTCTTTTCTGAGATTTCTGACTTAGGTTGCATGCTGGATGACATGGTTAACTCTGTTTCAACCTCTGAAAAGGTAAACTGTAAACTGGTATCATTTATCTGAATGTGTTTGTATGCATCTCTTAATTTTTTCTGTGTTATGTCTGTTTTATAGGATATGGGGTCCCATATGAAACAAAAATTTGAAAAATATTGGGGAGATCCTGAAAAAATGAACTTCTTGATATTCTATGCCAATATTCTGGATCCTAGGGATAAGATTGAGTACATGCCTGTCCAATTTGCTCAGTTGTATGGTGATGAAAAAGGAAAATCATGCTTTGAAAAGGTTCAATCTTCTATTTTTTTGAATGCTACTGACTCTATTACATTGTAGTATCTGTTCAAATATACTTTCTCAACCTAATAAGCACAAAGAGTCAACAACGCCTCCACTGAGGCTCAATCTCATGACTTCCCACATGGGAGAGGTCACTACATGCCATCTGAGCACAAGGTGCTTGGCAGGTTCAATCTTCTATGGTTGTCCTATTTAATGATTATACAGCCACCTACAGTGTGCAGTCTGCATCCCCTACTGTGCAATCTACCCAATCTGAACCAGTCCATTCTCAAACTTCAGTTGGAAAACCTCAGGGTAGAATGAAAAGCCAGCTTAAAAAACAGAGAATGGAGGCTGGTGGAAGCAGTAAAGAAACTGAACTCCAGATTTATCTAAGTGAAAAAATAGTGGAAGATGAAGAAAATGTGGACTTTGATGTTCGAAGATGGTGGAAGGTTAACAGTGATAGATTTCCTATACTCTCTAGAATGGCAAGGGATGTGCTGGCTGTTCCCATTTCAACTGTTGCCTCTGAGAGTGCATTCAGTACTAGTGGTAGGGTATTAGATCCCTTTAGGAGTTCATTAACTCCTAAAATTGTTGAATCCCTAGTATGTGCACAAGATTGGTTGAGGGCACCCAATCATCCAATCTCTGTGGAGGAAAACTTGGATGATGTTGAAAGATTAGAGAAGGGTACTGTTTTTATTTTATATCTTTTGTAGGTTTCTACTTTATAAATTGTTAATTGTTACTTACCTTTTCTAAACTCTTTTTTGTTTTTCCTTTTTGTGCAGAATTGTCCACTGGAGCTGCTGGTTCTTTACCAAGTACTGTTGGAACACTCCCAACAATTGCTGTAATACTTTTATATAACATTGCTTTCTGACTTTCTGTTTAGTTTGATTGATAAATGTGTGGACTCTTTGAGGCAAATCAGGTAAGATTCCAGAACTGCTAATTGCTAAGTGGCTTGGTAACTTTTTTATAAATGTTGCTGCCCTTACTCAGTTACATCTCTGGTATTCTGGAATTCTGGTATATCACTTCCCTTCCTCTCATATTCTCATTTCTATTTAGTTATGGACTTATGGCTATGATGATGCTTCCACCATTTGTCTGAATTAAAAAGAGTTTGGGTGTTTGGTATGTTGTTCTGAGACAAAACTCATGAAGCAATTTGCCCCCAACTCTAAAATGATATGAAAAAAAGCAATCTGAGCCTTTCTTATTAAGTATTATTAGTTCCCTACTTCTCTTTGTCTTTATTGGCTTTAAAGTTTAAAGTCTTTACTGGTTTTGTAATTGAGCAGGAAGATGAGGAATGGATGAATGCTGATTGCTGAAGGCTGATTGGTGACTGCTGACTTGCTGACTTGCTGAGTTGCTGACTGCTGACTTGTTGAGTACTTTAGTAGTTAGTAGTTAGTAGTTAGTAGTTTAGTGTTGTTTGAGTATTGTAGACAAAACTCATTTTGTGGACTTCATTTTTGCTTTTTGAATTTTGAACACAAGTTGGAAACTGCAATATGTAATTATGTATCTAAAATCTAAATGCCTACATAGCTGATAGCTTTGGTAATTTAGATTATGGTTATTAAGTTTGAACATTGTTACAGTTTTTTTTTTTGGTATGTTTTATATTAATCCGAGTTCAAACCGAAATCCGACCCCACCCGACCGTATCCGAACATGGGAAATCATAGGATTTCCCTCTTAATTCGAACGGATTGGGGTAGTTTTTCCCAATCCGAAATCCGAGCGGATGAACGGTTTTCTAAACCGATCCGCCCGAACCCGTCCGATGCACAGCCCTACGTGTAACTCATCGGTTACCAAAAAAATTTAAAGTAAATATTTTGTTTCTATTTATTTTAGATCCAAGATTTTTTTATAAGCCAATCAGATTTAATTTATAAGTTTAAGCCGGTGGTACTCTTCATTTTCCCATATAATATTTATGGTGAAGAGCCGGATTTACTTTTCCAAAGCCATTAATTGAAGACCAATCCATTTTGCCCTTTCGTTAACTAACAATAGGGAAGCAATTCTATCTAAATATCTATATATATACACACTTTCTCTCCAATACAAAGACTATCAAAGTTTCAGTCTTCAATACAAACACTAGGTCATGCAGGGCAGCAGTGATACCAGTCGACGGAAAGTAAAGAGCAGGGCAGCAGTGATACCAGTCTCGACGGAAAGTAAAGAGCAGGGCAGCAGTGATACCAGACTCGCCGGAAAGGAAACAGCGGGGAAAACGTCTGTATGATGAGTGGCCGCCGAAACTTTCATATCCAAAAGAGCCGGCTGCAAAACATCTGTACATTTGGTAACCTCTGAATCCTATTTCAACTTTTTTTGCATAAAGAAAATAATTCTAGAGATTTGAAAATCATACCATTGGAAGAAGGAGTACAATTTGTAAGTATTCTGTTTCTCATTATACACTATCAAAACTTTTGTTTGAACTCAACCGCAAATACCATGTATTTAATAAGCATGTACCTTCCATTTTGAAATATTGTTAAGTATCTCAGTTACACAGATGTTGTTTGCATCCCCAATACTGTGCCCTTCATCTAATTTGTTCAAGGCTGCTACTTGAGAATATTGAGGTACCAAAAAGGAAAAGAGATTATCAACTGGAAACACAAGAAAATCAACAGGTATAACCTCTGTCTAACTTAGATAAATAAATGTTTTATACATTACAAAAAGTATAGAACCTGGAAAATGAACTGATAAAAAGCGTATTTAATATTGGATTTGCAACTAGGGTATTACTTTATTAGTCTAAAACACAAAGGAACTATCTATTATCTTAAACATTTATAATAACTTACCTCTGTAGGAAGCAGACAAATACTATGGTATACTTCCATCTCAGTGATTCTGCATTTTTCTTAGGGAAGTTTAGTACCTGCAAAGCCATTCAACCATCAAAACTGTATTAAAATGCAAAATACTGTAATTTCTAAGATAAATTTGGTCTTTTGTTATGGCAGTTTGAAGATTTTTGGGTTGCTACTAGAATTGTGTTCATAGAAAGTGAGACAGAATGGTATTATGCTTCATGTAGAACTAAGGGGTGATGTAATTCTTAGGTACTGAGTTAAACTGGGATATTGGATTTGAATTTGAATGGTAATGCGCCTTTGTTTATAAATTGCATGAAATCCATGAATCTGAAATTTGTAGCTAAAAAAAAACAAATCTAAATACACAGATTAAGAATAAAATTGAATGTTCTCATCTGAATTGCTTCATGGTGTTGAAAATTAGATAGTTTGCCTATCAACTTTTGATATTAAGTTGTGCAGCAGCTACAATTTGACACAAATTCATATCAATAAAGATTTTCCAGAAGTCCATGAATTCAGAGATTTTAAAATTACAAAGCGCACTTGAGTTTATTCAGAAAGAATTTGAAATATTCTCTGATGTCAAGGTGGATTCTAGAAATAATTTGGTCAAGGAAGGGAGGATGCTACAATTAACAAAGAAGCTTGGTCACAATTTGCAAGAGGAAACACATTGCTCCAAATAGAGGTAAAATCCAAATGCATAACTAATTTGAATACTTTAATTCAACTAATACATGTGTGTTTATGTTAGTGTTCTCTTATCTGTGTGGTGTTAATTTCAATCATTTAAGTCAATTTCATTATTGTTCTCTTATCTGTGTAGTGTTTTTTTTTTCACTTTTTTCTGTAAATATGTGACACATCGACACCAACTATGATCAATCAATAATATGCTAAATAAATTGTACATTGCCAGTAATATACATACCTGGAATTTTATACTCCTTTGAGTCCAATTAGCCCAATTGTATACTCTGTGCCCATCGCCAATTGAAGTCTGAAGTGTACAATTTGTTGCATTTCAGTTGAAAAATTATGAGTATACAATTGGCTCACATATGGATCACACAAAGGTAATCCCGTGCTCTAATTTCTACTGCACCTCTTATATAATGTATAAAATCTCACAGATAACAGTTTTAAATTGTAGCACATATAGAAAGAATTTATCTACCAGTTAAGTCATTAAGCTAACATACAAGTTGAATTCCAGATTATCAATATACAAAATCTATGTCTATCTTCAAGTCAGACAAAAAAATATATAAAAAAACTGTTATCTAACTAAGGTATTTGAGATGCAGTTTACTGAAATTCGGGTTAACAGTTAACTAATGCATACTTTTAACAACATTTAAGGATCTTAAAAAGCAGTATACATAGATCTGGAATGGCCAGACAGTTCAATAGTAACTCTTGGAATGGCAAAGAAAGTGAAAGAGAGTGAATTGGTTTTATTATATTCTCTTTGGTAGTATCTTGACATACATACCTTACATGATATTTGCAAGGCATTTCTTTACTGTTATAAAAATCATAAATGGCCTGCATGGTGGATGCCTATTGATTTGAATTGCTGGACATAAGGACCTATCCTCACAACTTGAGTCTAACAAAACAGAGGAAAATTTGGATTAGGTAACAATTCTAAATGTTTTTTTTTTCTCACTAACAGATTTTGAATTTTGAATTTTGAATTTCTATATATGTGAAGGTGCTGCTGTTGTAAATTAAGCATTGTGGGAACAATGACTCTGAAATCAACATCACAGATCATGAGCATGAGGTTTATATACTTGCACACATATCCTGTTTTCTTATTTATAAATTGAATAAGAATTCAATTTATTTGTTTTATTTACAGGATCCTTTTGGTGATGTAATTCTTAGGCCAGACAGTCTTTTATTTATAAAAGACTTTGAGACTTTAGTTGTTAAGTTGGACAAAATGTAATGCTACTAAGTCTTTCTATGATATGCTTCCTAATGGGGTCAGGTTGTATGTTTTTGTTCTTTATGGTAATTTTGTAAACCTGGCTTGCTTTTTAAGGCTTCTACTATTGTGCTAAACTATCTAAAACCTTGGCCTGCACAAAAACACAACAATTTTATATATAAAAAAAAAAGTTGTAAAACCCAAATTTCGTACAGATTAAAATTTGAATTAACAATTAAAGTGTTATTGTGTGCAAAAGTCTCTATTTTAGTACGAAACTAAACAAACAAAATCTAGAACAAAATACATATTAGGTGAACAATTACAACTACCAACACCGGAACAATTACAACTAAAACTAGGTTTTAGATTAACAAAATTTTTAGTTAATTTCCTGGCAAAATTAGTACACAAACCATCAAATATAGCTATAATGTTCTAACCTAGAAAAATTTTTAACCGAACAGAGACTTAGATGAACAATGAACAAAAAACATACCTTTAGTCGAAGATCTGTACATCTGGAGTCGTAGATTAGCTGATCTACTGTCGTAGGTTAGGGTTTCAACATTAGGCTTGATTTACTCTAAAACAAAAATGGTAAGAGTAATATAGATCGAAAAGAATTCGAAGGAAGATATATGGAGAATAGATTTTCAAACCACAAGAGTTGGATATCTGGCTTCGTAGATTAGGGTTTCAAATAATCTACGTTGCCAGATTCAAGAACGGAATAACAATTCCTCTCAATCGAAACATAGTATCGATGGTTAGAGTCGCAGTCGAAACATCAACGAAGGAGTAGACAGCGATGAGAAGAGATCGGCAGAGAAATAAAATCCAGATATCGGAAATGAACGAAGAAGAAGAAGAAGACAGCGATGCGAAGACAGCGGCGTTCTAGACATTTCAGCTTGATTTGTTTTATCCTTATATATATATATATATATATATATATATATATATATATATATATATATATATATATATATATATATATATATATATATATATTATTTTTGTTGATTAAATGTTTTTTTTTATTAAAATTTATAGATTTAGGTATAGGTACCAATATTGTTAGAATTCTATTTACATTTAATCGTTTTAATATTTTATTATTTTAGATTGAAAATCAATGTATTCAATGTCAGTCAATCAATTTGCATAACTCTTTGGATAAAGAGAATCACATTGATCTTCAATCTAATGACATGTCAACACAAGCTGTATAATTTGAGATTCCTTCACACATTGTAATGACTGGTAAAAAATATTATTTAGTTAGTCATTTTTTTTTGTTAAAACACGACATTACTATTCTATTTTGATTAAATACCAAAGAATAAAATTAAGGTTGTGGGCTAATAGTTGTTTTTCAATATTTTTTCAGGAAATGAAAATTTATAGTCGTTTGGCACTTCTATGTCTATTTTGACATGTAAAAATACAACAATACTAAATAAGAGGCATTTAATTCGACATGTGGGTAGTTCAATGGGTACCCTATCTAACACAGTGAGTAATGGTACTAAAATTTTTTCCTTCTTAAAAGTATTTTTTTTCTTATTTTCAGAAAATTTTAAATATGATGTACAATTTATTTTAAAATTGTTTAGATTTTGTAACAGTTAAATATTATTACATACTTATGGTTTGTCAAATAATATTTGTTTAAATTTTAAATTTTAAAAACTATTGTTTAATAATTGTATAAGGTAATTGTATTAAATTCAGTATTGGCGAACAGAGCAACCTGCAAATAAATAATGTTAATACTCAGACTCATCATCAACCATTTTCAAACCCTTTGTGTAAGACTCGGTTTAGAATGTGGTTAGCTGTTAGAACAGCTTCCCCCCACAACGAATCAGAAGCACATGAACTGATTAGCATGGCGTTAATCATCTCTTTGAGAGTTCTATTTTTCCTTTCTGCTATGCCGTTTTGTTGGGGTGTGTAGGGTGCAGTCACTTCGTGTATAATGCCAGAAGATTCACACAGATCTTTCAAAAAGGTTGATTCATACTCTCCTCCTCCTCCTCTATCGGATCTAAGCCTTTTAATCCTTTTTTCCAACTGATTTTCTACTTCATTTTTAAAAACAACAAACTTTTGTTCGGCTTCACTTTTTGTTCTCAACAAGTATAATTTTGTATAACGAGAAAAGTCATCAATAAATGTTATATAGTAACGCTTACCACCTCGACTTTCAGTGGTTTTAAAGTTTGCTAAATCAATGTGAACCAATTCTAGCAATGATGAAGTACGATGCTTTACAGTTAAAAAAGATGTTCTAGCAAATTTTGCCTCAGCGCATGTTTCACATTGTTCACATGTATCATTAGACAGGTTTGGTCGCATATTCACGTTTTTCAGTCTATTTAAACATTTTGCACCAACATGTCCTAATCTAGCATGCCAAACATTAACTGATATAACAGTATAAACAAAAGAGGCATTCTTATTATCATGAGCAGTCACAGAAGATCCAGATACATCAGAGTGATTGTTAACTATAGAGACATCTAGTACAAAAAGACCTCCACGTAGATATCCCTTCCCAATGAACTTCTCACAACGAGTCATAACCAGACGGTCAAACTCAAAAACCATCTTAATTCCAGCCTTATTTAGAAGGCCTCCGGAAATCAGGTTTCTTCGAAAGGAAGGGACATAAAACACATTTTGCAACAGTAAATGTTTTCCAGAACAAAGCAGTAATTCTACTTTTCCTCTACCACTTACCTCGGAAACGCTGGAGTTTCCCATGAAGACTTGTTCTCCACCAGTGATAGGCTCAAAGGTTTTGAATGAAGCTTTGTTGTTGCAAAAATGCCGTGAAGCTCCAGTGTCCACAACCCATTCGTCTGGATTTTCCACCATGTTGGCTTCAGTTACTACAGCAACTACTAAATCAGCATCTTCTGTGTTCTCCGTCAGATTAGCCTGGTTCTTCGGCCTCTCGTTGTTTGGTTTCTGTCCATTCTGACTCGTAGACCCTTTGCGATGATAGCATTGGGCAGCACGGTGGCCTCGTTTTCCACATACATAGCATTCACCATTATTGTTCCTTTTTTTTTCCAGAATTTTTCCCCCTTTGCCGCGAGTGGAATTGTTATTCTTAAAATTCTTCTTTTGGTTTCTAGAATTGTCACCAGGTTTTGATTTCTCAAAGCCAGAGTTAGTTTCAACAATATTAGCTTTAACATTGTCAGTAAGAGTTACAGACCTTTGAACCAAGCGGTTTTCTTCCTCGATATTCACGCTATTAATTAGTTGTTGCAGTGTGTAGCTCCTTCGATCATGTTTTATTTTATTCTTGAAGCCCACCCAGGAGTCGGGCAGTTTGTCAATCAGAGAGTCACATAGGACTACTTCATTAACTATGCCACCTTCAGCTTTCATGTCACCAACTAAATTTTCAAACTCGTGTACCTGTTCGATTACAGGTTTGGTGTCCACCATTTTAAAGTGTAACCAACGACCCACATCGTATTTGCGTCTCCCCACATCATCAGCCCCATATTTCTCAATCATTAAATCCCAAATTGCCTTTGCAGATTTGTATTCAGAAAACATATCAAACAACGGGTCACTTACACGTTGGAGAATGGTTGTCCGGGCAGTCTTGTTATCTTTCTCGTATTTGATGCGAGCTGCCTCGGCTGCTGATGTATCCTGTGCTGATGGTGACTTTAGATCCTTTGAAGCATCTGTAGACTTCGGGTCTATCTCAGCAGATGAAGTCGTGGTTTGCAGTGCAAGCTGTGTAGCAGGCACATTAAATTTCGCAGGGTCTGCAAAAAGGACATAGTCCACATCCTTTGATTCCAGAAGCATGATTAATTTTGCAGCCCACCTCTTGTAGTTTAAACCACCAGTGAGTGGTTGAATAGGAGTAATGGCAGACACAGTGTTTGGTATTCCTGACATTTGTGACTCGATTTGGTATCTAAATGTTTTTAACTGTTGGGTTTTTTCTGCACTGTGGATGTAAGGTTTGGAACGAAAAAGGGCAAACCAAAGGTTCGGTATCGTGTGTAACACACTACCTTAAAAACATTTACGACCAGAGATTGAGTCGCATGCTTTCGACAGGCACAACAGAATGAACTGGAAAGAAATCGCAGGTAATATATAATACGCAGGTTGACAGAATTTCGAAAGCAGTAGCAGTAATCTCAGTACTGTTTCTTGCGTTTTTCCCCATTCTGATAGCTGGTATTTATACTACACTGCAGCAAAATTGTAGCATCATCCCACCTCTCACTACCCAATTGTAGCTACAAAATAGCAGTAGACCAACTCTGCACACTCCTTCATGGAGTTGTGCGGACAAGGTCATTACATGATCCACAAAAATAGGGTGAAAAATGGTTTTGGAAGCAAAACGTTGACCCCACCTCGCGTCGTGCCCGGACGGGTGGCGGCGGCGGCACGCGCATGGTTTACCTCCTTTCCCTTCTCATAACACTTCAAACTAGTTTAAAAGCCTTGAAGTATATAAGCAAGGAAATAAGAGGCTAAACTTCCAATGTGGGACAACATGGATAGGCTAAAAGAAGCCTTTCCCTTTAAATGCTCCCAACAACTCATACTCCAAGTTGTTTCGCACTTTTGATTAAGTTGAAGACAAAAGACATTTCACACCAAGAAGATGAATATAGACATCGACAAGGAGAGTATACAAAAGGATGTTTTGAGAAGACGAAGATGAAGAAAGAAATTATATGCGCTTTATAAGGTTTGCTTGGTTTTAAAGGTCAACATTAATAAATTTCATATCAACAAATTCATTTTTAATTAAATTCCATGTTAACTATGCGGAATTGCTACAAGGAAAAAACTTGGGAAAAATGCTAAGTGAAGAAATTTAAAGAGTTAATTTCTCAGATTAAATCATATTTTAGATCAAAGTGTTAATTGAACAGTCGTGAATAGATGTGGGTGTATTTGACCCTTCTGCTTAAGGTGTTAGACTTGCTTTGAGATTGATAGTTTTAGGGATTTCTTTGTGCTACTTTGGGTTGTGGGTCACATTTGAGTACCCGGATAATAAAGAAAAGCATAATCAACCTAGACTCTCTTTGCTATCTCCTTAACTAAAGGCAAAGTGTAAGTTGTACAATCCTTCCATCTCAAAACTGAAGAGAGTAGCTAATCTATAAAGCAACTAACCAACACCGTTTTGCTGCTTCACAACAATACAATGGGAATTATTCAAGGCTGCTACTGGACAAAGCATCATCTTTTGGCATTTAACTTTTCTAATAGGATCTTGTTCAACATCTTTGGATTTGCCTTGCCTTTCGATTCCTTCATCACCTTTTCATTTTCATAGAAATTTAGAAAAGCATTAACTTTATTACAGCCTTGCAGGATTGAGAGATGAAAAATTAAAGCAACTGCAAAATAACCATACCTGACCAGCAAAATAGCCTTGAAGTTTAGTTTTACCCCCACGGTATTGCTCTAGTTGCTTTGGATTG